CCTGTTACTTTATATTGCATAAAAACTCTTTAGGAAGATTGCATCAAATGCCTTCCTGAAGTGAATCAAATAGCGACTTTTTAATCAAAGAATCAGAATCTTTACAACGAAATTGGGTGCAGTCCCTTTCAGTGCAAAGCCATTTTAGAAGGAAAAAAAAAACTGTGACTTGTTGGAAAATTTCCAGAACAGACAGAAGTTGATGAAAAACTCGGTTTCCCTCTATTATTCAACAATAATTTGTTGGCCTACTTTGGACTGGGACCTGCCCCAAACCAAAGGCTGATCAACAGAAAACGCTGCTCCAGGGATTAGGGTTAGTAACTCCAAGCTTCTCATCTCACTAAAATTGGATAGACAGAGAGAGAGAGAGAGAGAGAGAGAGAGAGAGAGAATGGAGGGCAAAGCAGGTCAAGACACATCAGTCACTTCTCAGTCTTCTTTAGCCTTTAATCCATGAAACCACAGCTGGGGGAGGGGGGGTCAGGGATCAGCATGTCGGTGCCCCTCGCAGTATGTGCCTGTTTCGTTTGGGTGGGTTCTTACTGTGAGGTGGCTACACAGAGTCCACCTCTATTGAACAGTGCCAGCATCATCTCACTATATTTGTTAAAGATCAGTGTTTTCCAGCCCAGTCTTCAGGGACCCTCAGACAGTCCACGGGAGCTGGGAGGGAGCAAAAACGTGGACCATCTGCAAGTCCCCCAAGACTGGGTTGAAAAAACAGATACACTGTAGATGTTTAATATAAATGTGCTACGTGTAAAGTTTCAAAGCATTCTAGGTTGATGATTTTGGCCTATCAGTCATATATGATGAAAGCATGGCTGTTACTAAGCAACCTTGAGCATTTCCTATATGACATCACGACTATCAGGTACAAGACCTGATTTTTAGTATTAATTCAGAAATAAATGTATTAGACAGATGTCAAATATTTAGATAGTTCCTACTATTGTCCCCATTTCACGTTTACTTTTCTGACTACAAGAAGAATTTGTTGCAGATCACTTGGCAGTACAAATACAAATTACAAATTTAACTGAAGTGACTAATTCAGAATATCCCTAAGTGTGTCATTTTTAGTAGTACATTCTCTTAAAGCTCTTTCTGCAACACCAATGTGTCCTTACAATGCAAAGTCCCATACTCTGTTAAATGCAAAGTAACGCAGCGCCAGAACAGTGATTACTAAAAGCATATGGTATAAGATCATTCATTATTGTTGATCAAACTGAAGATTCTATTGCAGAACTAGGCACTCTGTTCTAGAACTGAATAAAATGTCATAGGTCATGCAATTTTTTTGTCTGTGAGAATGCATTGTATTATGTCATGTGTTAATTGCAGGATAAAATTACCTAGACAGAAGTATTTATGACTAGGAATGAACAGTTAGTGAGATTTTTCTTTTGTGAAACAAATTTATATGTATTTCCTTCATCATGGGGAAAAACACTCCTGTCATACTTGTGAGACAAGCCTCGCAGAAACTACCCATAATCAGATTCCTCAGTTACCTACTATCCTCATCTGATATTTTTGGGTATGTGTTGGTAATCGAGGCAGGAGACACAGCGAAATACTGACATTTATTTTTCAAGAGCTATTTTCAGTGTCTAGGACCATAATATACTTTGTGAATATATTCCATTCACCCAGAGCCTTCAGTACTGTGTATCACGACCATTGCATCAGCAGGAAGGAGACCAACATGACAGATTGTTACAATGAATGAATGATAGAATCGAAAGCATAATTATTTGTTAATCTGTACCAGCCAAACTGTTTCTACTACCTGCGAACATGGAGTATTGTATGCGACAAATTCTTGTTAATGATAGAATTTTTATTCATGCTTTTGTGCGGCAAATCACCACGGATGTCTTGTATCGGTGATTACAGCAAATGGATTACTGAACTCACTTTTGGCTCCTGCATACAGAAAAGACTCCAGAAAGATTACTATAAAAAAATACTGATGACGACCTTAAGATTGGTTTAAATTTAGACCCCAGTGCTTAGATTGGATCCGTGAAACGGATTTAGTCAGGCATCTGCTCCCAAGCTAAACTGGGCTGCAAATACCCACAGGAGAGCAACCTTGGGAAGTAAGCTCCGGGACACAGTGGGGTGAGTATGCGGGGGTCACACAGAAGGAGGGGACAGGGGTCACTGAGCCAGGAATGACAGCCACTGAGGATGTGGAGACACAGCTACACAGAGATGGGCATTGATGCTATTAGGAGATGTGCAAAGTGAAACGAAATGTAAATGTAAATGACCATGTCTGCCACTTCGAGTCTGTGTGTGTGTGTGTGTGTGTGTGTGTGCACTAGAGAGGTAGAGTCCTGCTCTGATAAGCAGATTACTCAAGATTGGCTCCTGCTAAACTGTGCAGCTCTTTGAAACCTGCTAATCAGCATGCATTCTGCGCTGCCAGAACTAACAGGACCAGCTGTACTGGTGCACAACCTCGGGCTGGAAAAGAATGAAGCAGATGTTTACAGTAAAGTGGGAGGGACATGGCAGCACCACAAAAGCCTTAATTACGGCTCAAGGCGCACAGAGTGACACGGCCAAATCTCACCCAAATTTTTCTGATACTTTTCCAGCAGTTAAATGCTTGGCAATGGCAGACTGAGAAGAAACCCGGCAAGGGTGGTGCAGTCTGTCTGCCGTCTGACTCCCTGCCTGCCGTCTGTCTGAAGGCTACGGTACCAGTCCATCTCAGGGCACGCACACACACTCCATGGGCAATCAGGAACACCTCTTTGCTTGCGGGTGGAATCTGACATGAGGCTGGATTCGAACCCCCAGCTCTGGTGGTGTGCGTTACCTTTTCGGCGAGCTAAAGAGCAAAAATAACAGGATTGTCGGTCATGATTTATCTTCCTGCTTTGACACAGCGCCTCCGCACCCTGTCCCCCACAAAGGTTTATGTTAGCTTAACTAAATTAGAGGTTACACAATGCCCTGCCTAACATGTGCACTGCTATTCCTCTTTGTTCAGCCTCAGAAGCTGACAGCTAGTAATTTATCGGATTATCTAGTATGGTGATACCTATCTACAAATATTCAGATTTTACTCAAAGGAGTTCACGTATCTTACGGTATCTGCCTGTTCACCAAGGTTAGCGTTTAAAAAGTCTTTTTTGGGTCATCAAATTCATTTTTTCATATTTTCAGGGGAGAGGGCAACCACATCAGTTTATTGTGATGTAGTTGCCCTGTGGTGTAGTTGTGCTGTGGTTTTGAGTATTACTTATGCGATTCTGCAAAGGTCTGTCAAGCCAACCAGTCTACATCCAAGTTTAGTTTGGGCTTGATGACTCAGCAGTCAGTAAGGGCAATGGCAAGCTTCTGCTCTGTCTTTATCTCACATTCTGATCTGCATATCTGCATGGGCATGACCCATGAAATATGCATGACATTTCTTTTACCCAATAGTAAATGATATTAAATGTGACGGCCGTATCATTTTATAAGTGGTGATATGATTGCGAGCATGAATAACTCTGTATACTGTCTCCATTGTGGGATACAGGAACATTTAAATGGAGTGTGGAATTCTATTCCCAAATCCTTGGTGCGGAGCAGGTGATGGAAAAGTTATTCAATCACCTCAGAACCAGTTGGCTATTCCAAGAAACACGCCCCCTTGTGGTTCACTTAAGTGATTATGCTTAGATTTTACTTTTATTTTAAATCCAATGATATTGCTGCATATTTTACTGAAGTATTTCGAATTAAGCACCTTTTCCTTACGGATGCTATAGCAGGGCCATTCCTGGAACTTGAATCAGCAGCTTTTTGTCCACAAGGCCACAGTCCCAACCACTAAGCTCTCTGTTGCCATAGAAGTGTCATTCGCAGCTGTTAGGAAGCTACATCCTGCAGTTAAGGTGAGGCTTTGAGCAGAATCCTGAGCTTGGATCTTTAGGTTGGCAAGTGGTTTGTGTTGAGCGGTCAGGGTTGACCGTTGACCATATTCTTATTGTGTTATTGTGTTTTCACCTTTGTTTACTGGACTGTAAAAAGAAAGGTAAATTATTGTCAGCAGGGCTGCACAAAAGAACAGTTAAATAAAAATAGGATAAGTTGCCAAAACTTAAGATAAGTAGTAATTCACAGTAAGAAAACCAATAATGTGGAATCTTGGAAATAAATTAAAAGAACCATAGCCTCACAGTATTGTAGTTTTCTTAAGTGCAAACAATGCCCCAGTTGATGGACAGTTCTGTCAGTAAGCCAGGAAAGTAAGATGAATGAATTGTACTATCATATACGTTCCATATAATTTGCATTCAAGTAAAATAAAAAGCAGGTCTAAGCATGTATTCTTAAAGGGTAATTTCCCAAAGTGATTGTGTAACGCACTACTGAAATGTCAAAATGATTTATTATGATTTACAGCTAAGCAATATTTACAGAGAATCAGAGAAGACCTGAAAATGCATGCAGGCGTTATTAAGAATGACGGATTACTGAAATGCATATCCAGTGAGATGAAGACCATGGTATCCAGTAACAGCCAGATACCTAACACCTGAGACAAATACTTTATATAATTACTGTCACAATTGTCTGTAAAGCTTTTCCACTATTTGTCATTTTTCCATCCATCCACTCTTCCATCCATCCATTTTCCATGCCCAGATGTGTTATGCAGGGGGTCTGGAGCCAATGCCAGAAGCTACTGGCACCAAATTTTTATTCCTATTTATATTATTATAGTTACACCTCTGATATAAAATACCTTTATGTACCTGCCCCAGCTTCATCTAATGCTGTGATTGACTCAGAATTATCTTTGATAGGGCACAGACCATCATAGCAGGATAAATAATCATCGACGTCGAAGCCATCATCATCATAATCATCATCATCGTCATCGTCATCATCATCATCATCATCATCATCATCCACGTCACACATTAGGCAACGAAAGCAGAAACGGGTTTCACATTCGGGACACTGGATGTTCGGGCATCCTTCACCTGAATGTGTCACAAGGGTCCTGCACGCGGGGCAGATCCGGAAGAAGGGACAGCCCTTCACCATGCTGTGTTCCTTCGTGATGCGCTCGCTTGACAGGAGAGCGGTTCGCGTCTGGCAGAACGGCAGCGCGCAGGAGCTGCCCTCCTGCCCGCGCCACCTGCGGCGGCACGAGCAGCAGAACTGGTAGATGCGGCGCGAGCTGGAGGAGCAGTGCGGGCACAGGGCGCGCTGGCCGCGCACGTGCCTGCCGTCGCTCCGGTTGCATTTCGGGCACTGGCCGGGGACAGAGAGACAGGCAGGGGGGAAAGCACCAGCCTGTAAGCAAACATCATCACCGCTGCTGGGAAGTGCTCAGTTACCAAGATTTGGGAGCTTTCGTGAGTTTACACACAATGATGTTTCACGCCGAATTACGTTAAATCCGTATTTTGGTCACTTTAAATCGAATTCATTTAGAATCAGTATCGGTTTTGGAACCAGTAAGCCCAGCCACTTCTCAAGGTACAAGCCAGACTGGGTGTCTGGTTGCCTGTTACAGGTCAGGTACACGTCACCAAACTTACCATTAGGGACGCGCTCATGGTGTCGGGTTGGGCTGTTTCTTCGGCTAGTCCGTCTGCTTCGAGAGAGGAAAAACAGAAGGGCGCAATTTGAAACGAGGTGTAAAATTAATCTGAAATTCCTTCCTGGAGGAAACTGATACTTTAAGCGGCAGTTTACCGTGCTGTACCCTACTAATATTATTGCACCTAATCATTACAGACATTAAATAAAATAAAGGCTCTCATAAGTTATCATTTAAAATCTTCAAAGTCGCGTAAGTCCCTACCGTCCATACCCGAATCTATGGCCTTGCCTAATAAAAATTCTTTCGTAAAATTGCGAGACGTACTTTTAAGAATATGCAATTCAGTAAGCAGCGCCATACCTACAATTCTTCTATTACGGGAAGACAGTGACAATCGTTTTTCGAATTGGTCCACAGCGGAGAAAAATAACTCAGAAATCAACGATATTTGTAACAAAATATTTATCGAGTGACTTCCTCAAGCCCATACGGGATCGAAGGGGATTCCCGCACATTACAGAAGTGAAATCGGATACTTTTGGTTTCGCTCATGAGGTTCGGCGAAACTCCACGTATAAGTTGACTGTCTCTATGAAGCTGAACTTTTATTTTCCTTTATTTCCGTTTAGCTTTACAGTCTTGACCAACTACAAGATCGTTATGCAGCGCGCCAACGTATGATGCATAACCATGGATTTGCATAACTGGTACGCAAGTGGCCATTCACCTTTAAAAGTGATTGTTGTGACAGCGTGAATGCGTTCATATTTATGTGCATTTTTTTTGCCGATATGACAAGGAATTCTCGTGCATTTTAACCTTTATATGCTAATTCGTTCTTCATTTGCGGTATAGAGGTTAAAATGCACGGTGATTTCTTGTCATATCGGCGCAAATGAGCATAAAATACGTACGCATTTGCGCTGTTACATTAATCGATGGCCGCACGTATCGCTTTTAAAGATGAATGCGTACTTGCGTACCAGTTATGTCAATCCCTGTGCATAGCAGCAAAATCACATGGCTGCGCTCAATTATAAAATAAAAACTACTCCAGCCCCGAATGAAAGCAGAGCAGAAATCAAATTACCTGTGTTCTTTATGGTTAACCGTTCAAGAGTTTTTATGTTCCAATTGTACGATTGTGAATGTTATGATACAGTAACGCAGCTGTGCTTACTGGCAGACTGGTCTGAACGGGAATCGCACCTTACGGACGAGATATACAATCTCTGCAGCTGTACCGATATCATAATGACACGTATCACACCCTTAAAACATTTACATTCACGTCCACACAATAAAAGTTAGCGTCATTCATGCACTAGTTTGGGCATATTTTGCAACGTCATACATTTTTAAAAAAAGGCTTAATTACAGTTAATTACAGCAAAAATATACACTGGAAACTAGCACAAATGTAACTATCTTTAAAACAAAATCACGTATTTTTCTGATGATGGACATTTCCTCTGATGAACTGGTATTAATTTAGGCTGAGTAAATTCAGGTTAATCTGAATGCATATTTTTCTCCATTCATTGAAGAACAGTGTAAACAGTAAATTCATAGGTTTGGGACTTGGAATTATATGGGTTGTTCCCAAACATTAAAAAAAAAAAAACAACAAAAAGGAAACCAACACTAACAAAAATGCCATCAACAGTGAAAGTCATGGATGATGTCAGTCTCAAGGGGGTTCCTGGAGAAGCAGAATCAGTGTACACAGCGGTTGCTCCCAGTCTGTGGAAACAGTCTGTCCCGTTTTAATGTGTTCCCATTCATTTGCAGTGACACCAAAGTCAGTCTTGTTTGGTTAAAGCAGAGGGAGAGGGATGCATTCGGTTCTGGCCGCTTTTGCTGCTCTCACAACGTGATCTTTGTGTTGCGGAAGCTGGAATTGTCCCTGAGGAGGAAAAGCGGAGCTGTTAGAGCGGAGTAGGGGGCCGATGTGTAGAAAACAGACGGCAGGAGTGCAGCGGGATGGCAACTGCCTAGTCACATGGATGTGCTTTGCTGGTCTTGCTATAATTGCGTTTTGGCTTCAGTAGTTAAGTCATTGACTCCCCTTATGTACAAGTGCCATTAGAAAATGCTAATCTAACCAAAGTCCTCTAGCTCACGGCCTTGCGGTATATATATGTGGTGTATACACACACACACACACACATTAATAATTAACATACAGCCACAAGCCAGGCCTTGAGCAGTATGTTAGCCCACTGTTAGTGGATTCTGTTCTAGTTGCGTGTGCCTTCCATACTTGAGGCTGTCGTTGTGGGTCTTGTACTCCATGATGGTGTTGGGAGGCAGGTTAAGAACGCGCCGCAGCGTGTCACGGATCCGGGAGGTGGTCACTTGATCGTTGGCCGTCTTGTTCCATATCGACAGAATGTCCTCCTGCAGGGACATGCCAGAACACACAGACACACCAAAGATCAACATCCTGTTGCCACATGGGATCCCAGACAATCCAGTTCAAACAGTACAACAGAAACAAAGTGTTCCAGCTGTAACAGGACATAACAAAGCAAAAGAAAAGCAGGCTTTTCGCTTAAATAACCACGAGATGTTACTGCTAATCTGTAGCCTTTGCTTTTCGATTGAAGTAACAGCTATCTGACATTCACACATTGAGAAGTAGACACTGACTGTGATATTTGTAGTTTATTTGCTGGTTCTCGAAAGTCCCACATGAGCAGAATATGCATCCCAATCAGCAATCAGCGTCCAGCTCTGTATGCAGTCCCACACTGGCTTGGGAAGGAAACTTAAACGACGGCACAAATTGTGCCTGTCCTTCTGCTACTCAGACGACCCTCAGACGCCCCCCTCCCCAAACACACATCTCTGGCTGACCTGGAAGCGGATGGACACCACCACCCCGCAGATCTCCTCCCCCACCATGAACTGCTCTCCCAGCATGGCTAAGATGATGTTCTCCCAGAAGCGAGAAGCCAGGCCTTTCCGCAGACGGATTATCCACTTGCCCCCGTTCTTGTTCGCTTCGTCCTTGAAAACGGGGCAGCCAGAACAAAAGTCTAAATGACAGGAGTAGCTCGACTTCATCCTCCTGATCAAATTTAAAACAATTCAGACCTACGTTTGAAAAACAGCAGTCTGCACCAAGATTAAAATATGCACGATCATGAAAACCTCCGCGATGGAGGTGGATGGAACATCACACACCCAGCTTTGACGCAGTGCTAAGAACAGGCCACTGCACAATGTCCCACCTGTGTAACGTGTGTAAGTGTGTAAGGAAACACTGTGCGGCCCTGTACTCACCTCCCACATGGGCTTGATGCCTTCTTTGAATAAGTGGAAGTCACTGTGACCTGTCAGATCCCCGGGTCGAACTAAGTGGCTATAAAACTTCCAAAACTGCTCCACCTAAGACACCCAGAACTGGGAAGGTGAGTTTTACACCAAGATGGAAAGATGGACTTTTCTAAGCCACATTCATTTACATGCCACAACAGACAGTCCTGATTTTATTGCTGGACGGAAAACAGATGAAACAACACATAAATATTAAAAATTTTACAAATCAGAAACGAGTCCCTGTCTGAAGTGCCCTAACGAGGAAAAAGAAATGTGTAATGAAGCAGGAGGGATGATTACTGACCGAGGCCACAGTGCCTATCTGCCGGATGTTCTGCTCGTAGCTTTGCGTGTTGGCGGGTCGGCTCGGGGTTCGGCGCGAGTACCAGAAGGTGTAGTTGTACTGCAGAGGGTGCTCCCCTGCTCCCGGAGAGATGGTCTGGCCACAGGGAGACCGATACATCGCTTTAAGTATATTATTGCAGAATAACCCATTTTAAATTAATGCATTTAAAGAGAAATTTTACCAACTAAGATTCCTAGTTAAACCATCAAATGGGGATGGACAGCATCGACTGTAGTACGTTTTACTACACACAAAAGCCAACGGAAACCATGCATCAGATATGAAGGGCAGAGTTCAGCGAGCACCTTCCGCCGCCCGTTGCTGTTCGGGATGGAGCTGTTCTCCGCATCGCTCTTCTCTTCCCGCGGGACTGCCGAACTGTCCTGGTCTCCGGTGTCGTCGTCCTTCAAACTGAAACGGTATATTAATTAGGAATATATTGTATTACCTTTTCTTCGCGAAATAAATAACTTACACTTGCAAAGCAACTAACTCTGCTAGAATCGATAGCTATTCTGCTATTTGGTTGTAACCCCCCCCCCATCAAATGGCAGTTGCCAATCAGGCTTCATTTTTAATTAACGTAAATTTCAAACGATCATATTCAATATGTTGATGTTATTTCAAGCGCTGTTAAACAAGTGGAACTGCTTTAGTGTTTTGTTATATAGTAGCAGTTAGCTTCGGTGTACTTACTGGTCAAATTGGTTCATGGCTAGCTCCCAATAAAACTTACTTAGGAAAACTCTATCTCGCCAGCTTACGTACGATGTGATGTTTCGTACAGTCTATTCCTCGGGAATCGGTAATCTTCTACAAAAAAGTTAAGATTATTTTTTTTAATATTAATTAACCAGTGACAACTTGTGCAAAAGCCGACTTCATGAGATTTGCGCAGACGCAGTTCAAGTCACCAAAAAGCATGGCAACGGGCAGAGGACTGGGACAAACCGTACCAAATGGCAAATCGCGTTGCGAAAAAATGGCAAATCACAGAAAAAAGAGGTATCACGTACACCACGTCTCTGTTGTTCTGCGAAACTGATGGAACACAAAACAATATCGTTACTCGTAGTGAGTACACATAAGGTCATGTCCAAGTATTCAGCAACTAAATAAATCTATCATCACTGAATTTTCTGCAATTATTATGTGAACTGTGATTATCATGTGATCTGACATGTATCAGCTGAGCCTAAATAAAATAAAATCAATATACATATAAATGCCAACCTTTTATAGATTGAAAAATGTCATGTGAATTTTATAGCTGATTTCCTTCTAATATTTATTCCTTCATCTTCCATAAGTGTGTATCCAGCACAGGGTTGTGGTGAATTTCTCTGCGACAGTATCGCAAAGTCTGGCAGACCGTGTCATTGTGGTTGCGGCATGAAAAGACACGCTTATTGTAAGGGGAAAGAATGCCCTTTTATTAAGCCCTCAAAAGGACTAACACAGGCACCAAACAACCACCGACACACACAACAGGGAACCACGGGAGGTCAGACACCAGACAGAAAGGCACATCCATAGTGGGTAATTAATATGGCTAAAGACACGCGAGGATCACACAGGGTTTACCTATGACATGGACAAGGACTCGCGTGACAATAAGGAATACAACACTAGTATTTACTATAACACACACAGGGGTTATTTACAATATTCCCTGCATGCTCAGCATACAAACTGGACTCCGCTATGCGGAGCCATGTCACCGGTGCTTCACTGCCCCCCTCCCAAAAGTCGACCATCCTGGCAACTACTACAGCCAGTCCTCTGCCATATCCTCCAACAAGTTGCGAAGGTCTGGCGGCAGCCCCCGGTGCTCTCTCTCAGGTGACCGCGGACATGCTGAGCAGCTGGGGACCACTGGCAGAGTCGGGCTGCTAGTGGGCTCTGAGCTGCCAGCAGTCTCCGGCGGTGCGAGTCCCCCGGGGCCTTGGCCCTTCTTCTTCTGCGGCTTGTTGGGGACCTATTGCTGAATGCCAGGCTGTTGTTGCTGAATGCCAGGCTGTTGCTTCTGCTGGTCCCCAACTCCAGTGGCCTCGTGCAGCTGCTCCAGGGATTCGTCGCGGCTCTCGGCCGCCGTGTCTCCCGCTTTGCTGCTCCATAGCCACCCGCAGGTCAGCCAAGCTAGAGCAGGCTGTCAAGGCAATGTCCAGGTCACCTGCTTCTGCTACCCCACTTCTGACACCAGTGTAATGTCTGGCAGACTGAGGCATCGCGGCGGTGGCAAGAAACAAGGAGGCTTATTGTAAGAGGAAACAATGGGCTTTTATTAAGCCCATAAAAAGACTAACACAGGCACCAAACTGACACACATAACAGGGAAACATACGGAGATCAGATGCTGGACAGTAAAACCCAGTACATGCTTCACTTTTGTGCGTGTGCTTTCAGGCTGGGGACAGTAGCACACGCAGTAGCTTGTGTCCATACTGCATTTGGCTAGGGAGACGAACGGTCGCGGTCGGTGCAGTGATATTACTGCAGACCAGGAGAGGGCAGACATATTGCAGCAAACACAACATACAAGCAGTGCAGTGAGACAGGAAAACTTATATGAAGTTGTATAGTTATTATCCAAGGCTTGGGCAGTATTACGGTAATAAGGCATACCACAGTATTTTGAAATCCTTACACTCCCCACCTCCTTGGCGAATTTTATCGGCAAGATTTCAAAATACCAGAATACTACTCCTTTTTAAAATAGCGTACACCTCGGTATAATGTCTGGACAGTATGAAAAATTAGATATGCGGGCAGATCCGACCCTCCTCATGCAGCTGCTCTCCATAACTACCACCGCAGCAACTATTGTTCCTCTACGCTTTTGTTATTGACCACTGATCTGTGAAACTCCACCCTGCCACCTACTGGACATACCTAATCAATTATCTTGCACATGCATGGTCGATGCCCACGGATGTGCAAGGTTTCTGCTAGACATAAAAATCTAGGCTACACATGAACCATCCACAGTTATCCGCAGTCAACCCATGATGATGAAATTTATGCCTCATCCTCTCATCCACAACTGAAAGTGCGCACAGGAAAGTCAAGTATGAATTGGCCTTTAGGTTCCAACCATTTCATTCCAACCCTACCTTAATCAGGCTTATATGCCCTTTAATATCCTAATAATTAATGTAGCGGGTTGAAAGCAGTGTGGGTTGGAATGAAAACATTCTGACAGTGGGGCACCAGGAACAGGATTGAGGTCTAGGGTGAGTATTGTTAAAATGGGAAAATTGTTTTCTGGAAAAATAATGGTGCTGGCTTAATGGTTAGGGAAGCATACTTCCTGACCAGCAAGACACCACTGAGGTACCCTGAGCAAGGTACCACCCCCAAGCACTGCTCCCTGGGGGCTGAATTAGCTGCCCCCTGCTATGTCACAATGTCATATATGGGTTAACTCTCCCATTCTGCCAGGTGTCCCGTTTTCACGATACTCACCCTACTGAACTACAGACACGCGAGGATCGGACAGGGCTCAGATATAGCACAGCCAAGGATGCAGGCGACAACATGAAACAGAACACAAGTATTTACAATAACACATACAAGGGCTATTTACAATATTTCCAGCACTGACTGGCTGCGCTATGCGGGATATCTCGCCGACGCTAGAGTATTTATATAATGAGTCATATTTTCTTTTAAAAAATTCTAGGCATGAACCGGCATAGCCGGTGTAGCCATGCCAATATTTAAATAATAAATCGCTTCTAGGTGAAATATTCTGGCAACTGACATCGGCTTAAAGAGGTCACAATAAATGTCAGCTATGCAGAGATATGGTAGACTACCGTCTACAAAGAAAGAAGAAATCAGCTTAATGTCACAATAAAAGCACTTTTGCTGTCCTGATGAAGGACAACCAGGACTATCGACAAACACTCAGTTTTGATTAACTTCAGTGCTTTTAACCTTTTACATAATTGTGATCAACCATGTTTGTGTAAAAGTTACTACTGCATTGGAGATTTATGAATTTTATAGATTTTATAATGACAAACAAGTCAGGTAACATATTTTTAACAAGCTGTGTTTTGACATAAAGGGCTTGTAAATGTCTGTCCTAAGTTATAATGAATCTTCACAGCATGGATTATTTATTATTAATAGGCATATGAAAAGGAAGCAAACGAGTGTGAATCCTTTATTCGAGTCGGTGCAAATTTAAGGGGCGGGTTCAATCGCTCGCGTTACTCGCGGATTTGGGAATATTTAACAGCGCTCAGCCAATGGCGATGAACACGTGAAAATGGTCCGTGTGTGAAAAGGTCTGTCATCAGGCAAATACCAGCAAACACCGGGCTGCTGGCCGTGGCTGGGAACGTTCAGCAGAATGGAGACATTGTTAGAATCGGCGCTTGTTCTGCGCGCCCTGGTTGTAATCGGGGGTTTCACTGTTCTATTTTATTGCTGTAAATTCACGTGGAAATGCTGGCGCGGCTTTCGGGTTTACGTGCTGTCAGAGTACTGGCGAGCGGATCTGAGAGCTTATGGACAGTGGGCCGGTAAGTTCAGGAACCGCTACCGGAACCGGGACCGACGCACCTGTAGCCATGAGTACTCGGGCACCCAACTGGGGATGTTTCATAAGCGCCTGACAGCGAACAGACGATAAAGAATATTAGTACCTGCGAGTAATAGGAAGTGGACGTTTGGTGAAGCAAGTTGCGCTTTGCAGTTGCCGAAGCTTGGTAGTCGGTAGTAGCGCATTAAATTCAAAACAGACCTTCGACACGTTACCTCAGGCAATCCGCACTTATTATTTGGTGTTTTATATTTTTGTATGCATCAAATTGCTGTTTCCAGACTTTGTTTTGCTGTTGCCACTTTGTATTTTCAGATTAAAGATCTAGTATCTTACAGTGAACTAGATGTGATCTGGTCCATGCTGTCCCGAGTACGTGGACCTTGATGTGGGATCTGCTGGGACTTTGGGGTCCGCTATTGGATGTTTTACTGCATTATCTAATTCTTAGTTTAGGCTTCATTAATACCCCTCACGTTCTTAAAAAGCGAATGACATGGTAGCTATTAAAAGGACAAATAGAAGGGTGACAATTTTGGTGTTCTTGAAACAGCATAAAATTTATTATGAAATGACGTATTAAAGGACGGATAAAGACGAGTGAAAAGAAAATAGTGGCAGCAGTTAATGGGCAGGTGACTGATCCGAAATATGATTTCGGGACAAATGTACAGACGGGAGAAATGCAAGCAGCGATTAGCATCTAAAGATGGTTTAAATTAGCCAGAAGCCGGATTTGTTTACGCTCGTTTCCCCAGCTTTAACTGAATTGTTTAAATCAGAGACCATCAGTCCCAATGCCGCCCTGCAGGTGGCTGTTCTGGGGGGCCAGACTGGGGCCAGTTGTCCTGTTAGGGGGGGCAGATGCATTTGACCATAATGGCCTCGGGGTATTACTTACACTAGATTGCCAGGATTAAGAAGCAAAAGACAATTTTGAAAAGCGATGTTATTTACGCAGACCTTTGCAGTCACATTTCACAGCTTTTACAAATATGTAACTCACTGTGATTTCTTGTTCATGCTGTTTTGCTTCCTCAAGCTTGACAAATTTGTTTTATTTATTTATTTTTTGTCGTTAACCTCGCTTTTCACCAACTGAAGTGACTTTACCATCCGGCGCCCCCGCGTTAAGAATCTATCAAGAAAATGTGTTTATATTTCTGTTTCGCCTGTTGCCAGCGCACATTTTAGCCCACATATATATATAATTATTATTATATATTACAACAATAATACATATATTATAGACATAAGTAGAATACGAATTTATGAGGGCCACAGGGGGGCATGCATGTTGTCACGGGGGCACTGCCCCCCCAGAACCAGCCCTGTTTCCTGCCTTCCGTTTTGTTGTCTGATAACAAATAACATCATGGTGATGAACAGCTAGATCAAGAACGAGAGAGTATGTGACACCAAAAAAAGTTTATCATGGGCATACCTAGATATCCTGGCGCCCCTGACAAAATGTCACCTGCCCCCCGTACAATTTTGCATCTCATTTTGCATACTCAAGGATCCCTGTAAGGGCTGGACCCCTAAATCTGCATGGGGTATCCACGCCTTTTCGACGCCCCCTGCTGGGAATGCTGAGCAACAGGCTGCAGACGGAAAATGCATTGTTACTGTTAGTTTCCAACCGCCTGTGCTAAATTCGCCATTGAAACTAGACGTCAGTTCTTTTTTTGTATGAAGCAGCGCGTGAGTTGGTACATGCGCATTATAATTCCCCTTTAACACTTAAAAATCATACAAACATCATGCTTCTGGATTACTCCTGGGAAAAGAATGATTGCTATGTGGGACACTCCGGCTCCCAGCTAATGACTTTGCAGAATAGTGCTGTTATCAGCGGCTTACTTGGCTTTCTTCCTCTGTTCTTTAGTAACGTATAAAGCTCCCGAGGGCAAAATGTAATGCGATGGCTCATTGTGTGGACCTTTGGGGGGTTAGACCGTCTCTTGTTTGTTCCAGCGGTTCCTGGGAGGAGATTATGCCCGTCCTGTGCTTTTGTTCGTATTGTTGTGCAGCAGTCCAGTTGTCGTTCCTCAGGGCAATGCAAAAGTCACGACTGTGTGATTCATTTTAGAGAAAACAATTTAACCAAAACCAGTATAACAATCCAAGAAAAATACATGCATATTATCTCTGGATAAATGGGAATATCAATAAACAGATATGTTTTTAAATTCTGCCTGTGTTTTATCCCTGAACTTAGATGTGATCAAGGCATGCCTAAGTGTTCTGGCGCTGTAGGCAGGATTCTGGTGAGCTCCTCCTCATAGCAGCAGAAAACAAAATTTTGCCGATTCATTTTCATTAAAAAACATTACAGCGGGGCATGGTACATGGCTGCTAATCCAATGTCTGATTGACAAGAAAAATACAGAAATATACTGTAAATAACTAATATCATGGAATGCAGTCGGAGGTATTTCTTCTGATATTAAAATATCTTCTGATTTTATTTTTTATATATATATACATATTCGTTCTTTTGTGCCTCCAAATGCAATGGTGCCCCTGCTCAGTAGCCGCGTTGCCTATAGGGCGAGCCGGCCCTTCTGTTCTCAGAAAAGTTATTGGAACTTTGCTGGACGGCTAGATGAACACCGCTTCCGTTCCCAGACCTCTCCTAAGGGGCACCTCAGCCATTCCATGTGTTTATTAAATTTTAACTAATTGACTTTTTAATTAGTTAAGTTAATTATTGATTAGCTATATGAGGTGTGAGTGGGCGAGTCGTACATGGTTGTATTGCACGGTTGCTGGAAATAATGTGGTGATTTTAGCAGAGGTCTTGAAACCGCTAAGCTGTAACTTTGACAGGTGTAATACCATAGTGATAGTTCTACACTCGCAAAGATGATTTAAACATTTTCTTTGGCTGCCTACGACTTTAGCACAACACTTACATATGACATTGTAGGTTTTTACTGTGTTAACATGGTCATTATGACATTACGTGTGTTGGAACTTTAGGTTTTAGCTGATTACCCAATATTTTTGGGTGCAGTAACTTAGCCTACCAGTGCTCTGACCTTCTTTGTTTTTTTGTAGTTGTTACTGGGGCAACCTCTGGAATTGGAAAAGCTTATGCTATGGAGGTAACCTTACCGGACGGCTGAATGTTGGCACCATGTTCTGCTTTCCACTCAGGGTTATTTATTGTTGTCCGTCTATGATGTCTCTGTGTCACCTTTCAGTTGGCCAGCAGAGGACTGGATGTGGTTCTGGTCAGCAGGTCAGAAGGGAAGCTGCAGGCTGTTGCCAAGGAGATAGGTGTGTGGGGTGGGGGCATCTGTGTGTCAAAAGAGGACTGCTGTTTCTGTACTTGGTGTATATATAACCCAGTAATGTCTGTTTCAGAGAGTATGTATGGAAGACAGACTCGGATCATCCAGACAGATTTCACAGAGGGGCCGCAGATCTATCCTCGCATCGCAGAGAAGCTGCAGGGCTTGGAGATCGGCATTCTGGGTACTGCAGGCACACATGGAAACCGTGGGCACCCTGGGACAGCAGCAACAGATGAGATTGTAACAATATAGACCGTGGGCACCCCTGCATCCCTCAGCTGCTTTTCCATGACAGGGTTGTGGGGGGTGCTGTAGCCTATCCTAGGCAGCAGGGGGCGGTAGGCAGGACACCTTGGACAGAAGGCCAGTCTTCTGCATACATCGTCAAACATAATGGCACATTACAGGCAATTTATAGATGCCAGATGCTTGCTTTGGACAGGGGGAGTAAAGCCACGCAATATAGGGAGAACATGCAGGCAGAGCAGACTTGGGATTCGAACCCACAGCAGACTTGGGATTCGAACCCACAGCCATCGAAATGCTAGTGCAGCCCACTGAGCCACTTTTACCATACATCGTTCCATCCACTAAACCAGGGGTGTCAAACTGCAGTCCTGGGGGGCCGGAGCCCTGCGTAGCTTAGTTCTTTCCCTGTTCCACCACAAATTATTCAGCTCAAGAGCTGTGTGGTAATTAGCACAAGGAGTTAAATCAGGTGTGTTAAATGAGGGGAAACCCAAAAATGTGCAGGACTTCGGCCCCCCCCAGGACTGGAGTTTGACACCCGTGCACAAAACCAAGACCTAATCACGGTCCTCAGCGTCTGATTCCTCTTGATTTTCCCGCCTTCCTTCACCCGTGAGTCAGGTGTGAAGCCTCTGACCAATCAGAATCAGTAATTATTAAACTAAGTACCTGGGAGAACTGAAAACACGGCCTGGATTTGGTAATCGAGGGCCAGATTTGAAGAGACCTGCACTAAACAGAAGCTCATCCATGATACTGCTGACTCACTGATGCTGTGAAATGTGCATTGTTTGTTTCCCTGTCATCCTGTCCAGTAAACAACGTGGGTATGAACTATGCAGGAATGTTGGTCAGCTTTTTGGACGTTCCGGACCCTGAGCAGGTAAGAACCTCTGTCCAAACGCTTTTTTTGTGTGTTTTTACATAATGTTTATTGACTTTAAAAATATTCAACAAGAACAAAAACAAGGAAAGGAAAAAAAACAAACAGCAAAACAATGTAGCAACAACTCTGCTCACTGACACAGGGACATGGGAATTAATATTGGTACAGAAATAAAAACAAGCAATAAATGACAAGTAATCAATTACACGGCTCATCCACTCTTGTCCTATATAAACCCCCTTGTAAGTGTGCTTGCAATATTCATCCCAATGTATAGCAATAAAGGTTTCCATATTCTATGAAAGGTGTCGTCTTTGTTATGTAACATACACATGTCAAATAGTCCTGAGATGCGTATTTTAATATGACATTATGTCCCTCTCTTCTAGAGGGGGCTTTATCTGTTGTCCGATTCAGGAGAATGTGTTTTCTGGCACAGAAAGTTAACATTTTGTACAACTGCTCCTTGTATTTCTATCAGTAATAAAGCAGTTTGAGATTCCAAGCAACATACTCTGTGGCATTTGCACTACAAGTTTGTAGATAAGATCTTATTTATCTCTTGTCCCACCATATGCCAGAACTTCTGCATTTTCCTGCAAGACTTCAAGCAGTGAGTGAGACTGCTGATCTCTGTTTTGCATTTCTGTTACAGACACTTAAGGTACTTTCATGCTCCCAATCATCATCTGAGATCTTTAAATTATGTTCCCTTCCCCATACCGCCTTAAAACGTGAAGTTCCCGCAGAACTGTACTTAAGGAGTCCATATAAAAAAATACCTATGGAACGTCCCAATTGTGATTTTTTTTTTTTTAATTGCCGCTCTATTCATGAAGTCCTTTGATTAGAGAGAACGGTGGTATCGCTTTTAACTTATTTCTAAATAACAAAAAAAAAACTCCTGTTTTTGAATATTGTATCTCTCTGTTAACTGATTAAATGACATCAAAGTAGATCCATCCATCAAATCACATAAGCTGTAAAGCCCTTTACTGGCCCAAGCCCGAAAACCAGGGTCTCTTAAGAAGTCTGGGTTGTCACATACTGGTGTGAAGATGCAGGTAAATTGACTCTTTACCTTCTAATCTTCTAACAATGTGTCAGGCTCTAACAGTGCAAACTGTAATAGGGTTAGAACACACATTTGTTAGAGATTTGGTCTTTCTTATAAATAGTAAGTTTACAAGAGGTAATTTAGACATGGAATTTTCTATATCTATCCAGAGGGAGGTAGTCTTTGTGTACCCAGTCAGTAATGAAGCAGAGGTGAGCTGGTATTTTCGAATGTCAGGGAGGTCAGGTCCACCCCATGAGCACGAGAGGCATTATGCTGCTAGTCTAAGACGTGGTTTCTTCTTAGCCCATATAAAGGAACTAAACCAGCTAATCAGACTTTGAATGGTTTTATGTGAGAGAATAACTGGGATCATCTGAATTGGGTAAAGCAATCTAGAGAGATTATTCATTTTGAGAAGAGCCACATGACCCAGCCAGGAAATAGGAATTGCATTCCACCTCTGAAAACTTAGTCTAATGCATTCAAGCAGAGGAACACAGTTCATTTTATACATTTTGTCAAGTTCAGGGATGATATATGATATATGATGCTTTTAGCTGCCCAAGGGCATCGCCTCAGGCTTACTAAAATTAATTTTATAACCTGAAAAGACACTGAACTTACTGATAGTGCCAGTGAGGTTAGAGATGGATATCTCAGGCTTAGTTATGAAGATCAGAATGTCGTCAGCATAGAAGGTCATCTTGTGATGTCTATGAACTGTAACTAAGGCATGTATGTTATGGTTCATCTTGAGAGCCTCGGCCAATGGTTCAATAGCCAGGAGGGGGGGGGGGAAGGGGACAGTCCTGCCTTGTGCCTCTCTGGGTGCAGAAATTGGGAGATCTCAGCCCATTGCTGAGTACCACAGAGAGAGGATTATTATAGAGTAATTTAGTCCATCTGATGAAATGTTCCCCAAACCCAAATCTTGCCAAAGTGTACAGACACAGGGTCAAATTCCATCTCGGTATCCAAAGAGACAATCAGACCATCTGTTGACTGCTGATGAAAAATCTGATTTCTGTTCAGTGATCTGCACAGATTATTGCACGGGTGACCCCAGTTTGGTTTTCATTGATAAGCATGGGGAGTGAGCTCTCCAGCTGTGTAGCCAGTACTTTGGAAAAGGATTTTCAAGTAAAGAGATTGCTTATCTTTTTTTAAAATCAATTAGATATTAGCCTCTCTCAAATACATTAGCAGGATATATCTTTCAAATGAGTCCTTTAGCATGTTTAGCGGGGGGGGGGGGGGGGACTATGAGGTCCCGAAACACTTAATAGAACTCACTGCTTGGCCCGTCTGGCCCAGTCGCTTTTAAATAGGAATGTTCCTACCACTGATTTACCTAAACGTCTCATCTCTTTCGGCAGAGAATAACTCAGGTCATCAACTGTAACATCCTGTCCGTCACCCAGGTAAGCGTGCCCGGGCTCCTCGTCAGCATGGCGGTCTCTGTCCGCGGTCGCATTGCCGCAGAGAGCTTCATGAACACTGCAGCTAGGGAACAGGCTCCCTCAAAGAGCTAAATCTGAGAGTTTAAGCGTCAGGTTAAGTAATAACTTTATCTCGTCTAACCAGAAAGCTGGCGTGTCTTAACTGAATTGAGGCGTGTCTGAGGGTGTCCCTTCCACTTGAATCTGACAGGGGCGGCTATCTGTGATCTCCATGGTGATCAAAAACAGACATACAGCGCATTTCCACATCTCGCACGCACTGCTTCTCTTCCCACTGGCTCCTTCTCTACTTGCTCTGGCTACAGCTAGGTTCCCTTTCACTGCGAGGACAGTGTTGCTGAATAGATGGACTCCTTTTCCCAAGCTGTATAAAATAGCAGACATCCTACCAGGAGGGGGAGCTGCTAGCTAGACTTGGACGGTATTACAGTAATACCGTATAACACGGAGGTTTGGGTATACCGCGAAATATTTGTTCAAAAATACCCCAGCCCCTCCCCATGCATATTTCATCAGAAAACACCAGAATAGCGTTGCTTTTTAAAATACCCTTAAAATTATGTCGCGTCCCATTTACCTCAGAGGTTAGAATTCGGAGCTGGAATAGACGTCACGCCCCCGCTCCAGTACAAGTGGGAAAGCCATTTGGTAATAGCAGGTACAGCCGGTTAACCAATTCATTGTTAGCTGTACCGGTCAATAACAATGCATTACGTGGTGTTTTGTACATACAAACACGCTAACAAGTCCACAGATAGAGGTTGGGCAGTACTGTATGTACAACTAATATAATGACACACACATGAGACATAAGTGCTAAAAAACACTATATAATTACAGCTTTCACTTCTGTTGATTAATGGGAGCAGCCATCAGGGTTGTAGAGGTTCCTCCGGGGTTTCAAGTAGGATTCCCGACCCTAGTGCTGGCTGGGGGGGGGGTAGTAAAATTTGCCAGGGGTGGTTGTGGCTTGGTGGGTGTCAGGGAGTTACTGTAAATTTGTGAAGAAGTACACACTCTGATTCAGATAGACCGAGAACAGGAACTCACGCACGTGTCAGCCTTATTCCTTATCGGTGTACTAGATGATCTACGTTTGAGGGTCTAGCAGACAGCCGCTTCAGTCGCTGGGTTAGTGGTTCTGCTACAGAGCCCTGATGGGACCTACCCTGGGTGGCGAATGCCTTCTGCATGACCTGAGTCTGTGGGGCATGTATGACTCTTACTTCATGTGTAAACAAACAAACTAGCAAATAAATGAGTAGCAGGAAGCATGTGACGGATCGGAGGTGGGGTGTTGGCGCTTGGAGAGGATGTGGACTGTGAATCCGATAATGGGGAAGATGGTGGTGATCAGGGTTGGCCATTCCGGAATGCATTCATCAATTCCAATCTAAATCTGGAAATGGAACTGGAGTTGGGATTGGTGGGGGGGGGAACTATGGGGAACAGAATTGGAATCGAATTCAAATTTCAAGGAGATTTAAACTCCAACTCCAGTTCCATTTCCTGATCTGGATTTGAATTAGTGAATGTATTCCCGAACGGCCCCAACCCTGGCGGGGATCATGTGACTGATACCATGTCCCCGTTCCTCCCCAGATGAGCCGACTTGTTCTTCCACACATGGCGGAAAGGTAACTTCACCTCCCACCATGATCACCCTGCCAGGGGTGGGGTGGGGGGTTGATTTTTTTTGCTCATGGGAGTTTTACTTACACAACAATGTTCTGAGGGCAAAATGAAAAATTATTGGTTCAGAGAGATAACCAATCAGATTGTAGAGGAGGTGGGTCCAAGCAATCAGACCTCCTCTAGTTGCTTGGGCCCAGCTCCTCTACAATCTGATTGGTTATCTCTCTGGACCATCATTTTTTGTTTTTCATTTTTGTGTAAGCAAAACTCCCATGAGGGGTTTCTGTGTCTGCGGACATTGTGTCTCCCACAGGTGTAAAGGGCTGATCATTAACGTGTCCTCAGAGGCTGCCTCTGCGCCTCAGCCCCTGCTCACCCTCTACTCGGCCACCAAGGTGAGCTCCTCTTTCCTGCTCACCGCCTTTAACAGCCTCTGGGTCTTCGGTCCTGCCGGTCGGCCCTGCTGTGCCCCTGAGGTTCTGTTCATCTTTCTGGGTTGTGGTCTATCTCATGGGCTCTCCTTGTTCTCCGGGTTCCTTTTTTGCATGTGAGTGTTTGGGATGGGGGGGGGGGCAGAGTTCGACACTTGGAAGCCATGAGAGATTGTGTCCATCGGGGTGAGGGATTGTGCAGCGATTTTTCTCCCTACTTGGGAGAGTATGTGTGACTCTCCATCTGCCCATTATGCTCTGGCTCTGTCCTCTGAAATCCATGCAGCTAGTCTTGGTCCTCGTGTGTGTGTGTGTGTGTGTGTGTGTGTGCAGCACCTCTTGTACACAGAATTGCAACTGGATGTCAGCAGTTAGCATTTAGCTTTGTGGCTAACACTCTTGCATCACATCCCGAGTCCCGGCTTTTGACTGCTCTACTGATACAGTGGTTCCTCTCCTTCGCTAGATCTTCGTGACCTACTTCTCCAGATGCCTCAACTCGGAGTACAGATCCCAGGGGATCACAGTGCAGGTACCCGGGCAGGGTGTCGAAGCTGCAGCTGCAGCGTGCGATACGAAATCCACCATGATGGATGACTGATGTCATTACTATTGAATGAACTTAACAGACAACGAGCAGCGACAACAAAAGTTCTACTGAAGCTCTGGCTTCTTACTGAAACGTTAATCCATTACAAACAGGACATACTGACCCAAAGGTCAAGTAGCGACCTTGTAGAAATTCAGAACGGAACTCCAGACCAGCACGTGCTGAGCACAATCGGCGAGACCAGCGTTCCGTATCAGTGTTAAGGCGTTTGTGTTTTGTGACTCCCACCCAGTGTGTGACTCCCTTCATCGTATCCACCAACATGACCTACAACATCGAGGTGGGGGCCTTTGTGAAGAGCGCATCAGCCTACGCCCACGAGGCCCTCAACACCGTGGGCTACTCCAGCTTCACCAGCGGCTGCGTGCTACACGCCCTGCAGGTCAGGGAATTGGAGACATGCACCTCACTGGCTCCTTGCCAATCGCTGGACACCATTTACTGGGGGGGGGGGGGTGTTAGTTCAACTCACTTTCAGCACCTTGGGACATTGGGATCATTTGGGAGTTCGCTGAATTCCAGGGGACCGACTCAGAAATCGTGTTTCTCACATGTTCAGCGTGGACTCCATAGTGCCACCTAGTGTAGGACAGAAAGTATCACTACCTACTGTGTTATGTGTTGTAGCACTGTTTCTCAGCCCTGTTCTCGGGGAATCCCACAGAGCCCACATTTTTGCTCCCTCCTAGCTCCCTACTGAAGCAAAAATGTGCAGTATCAGCGGGCCTGAGTACTGCGTTGAGAATCACCGCATTACAGGGTTACATTTAGGGTCATGTGACCAGTTCTCTCTCTCTCTCTCTCTCTCTCTCTCTCTCTCTCCCCCCACCCTACAGCACTTTGCATTCTCCATCCTCTTCCCCGAATGGATTCGTCTGTCCTCGTTCTCCGTGAGGCAGATGGAGCGATTCGCCCGGAGCCACCAGCAGCAGATCGAGGCCATGATACAGGAGTCGCAGAAGAAGCAGAGTTAAAGGCGGCAGTGAGTGTCTGTCACGTGCACTGGAGGTGGATGCTGGGGAGGGGGGGTGGGCGGCGAGGGGAGGGGGTTAGAGTGAGCCACCGGAGCTGATAGCACGTCGCTAATTAGGCTGCGCTCACCAGGCTTCGTGGCGTTCGACGAGCCGGCAGAAAGACGTCGAAGTGGCTTTGAGGGTGGAGCTCTAGCATGTGACCCTGTCTGCGATGACACCACCTTTGACCCCATAATATGCATAAGCACTTCAAATAAGGTTGTCACGGAAAAATCACATAACCTGAAACGAATGCTGAGCAACTCACTGTTAGTCCACCACAGTGCTGTAGTGTATTTTTATACTCAATAAATGGAAGTATTTTTGCGCATGGCTTCTGCTAGTGCTTTGCCCCCCCACCCCCCGTCAACCATTGTCTCCATGGCAACAGTGCTATTCTTGCCCTTGGCCAAAGCGCTTTGACCTCCATAATCTCTGCAGTAACGGCAGTTTCCTTAAAAATGTTGTGGAGCGGGGGGGTTGAGGCGTTTCTTTTACAGCTGAGCTCGGCAGCATTGCTGGGGGGCAGCTGGACTTAAAGCTAACTGCACTGACTCTACTGCTTTGGTTATAAATAATATAAGTTCACTTTATAAATCCTGCTGAAATAGGTAGGGGCCCCGTGCTGCGGGATCGGGGCCCCGTGCTGCGGGATCGGGGCCCACAAGGGACTGCAAAGTGCATAGGTGGTTAGTTAATATACTTTATTAAAAGGAGAAGTAAAGTTTGTCGTCATCGCCCTTCAGACACAAACAAAGTTAGTTACACGATAATGGCTTTTTACAGAAATAAGGACTCTTGTAATCGCCGTTTTCCTTTTCCTTAAACGGCTGCAATTCCCAAGAGATGCTGCGGCTTAACGATAACGAGGTCTTGCTGAACCAGCGCTTTGAAAAAGCAACAAAGCATTTCCAGGCAACGTGACCCCCCCCCCCCCCCCCCAATGTGAGCACATTTACATACGCAGAAATGCAGCAGGACGAAAACCTCGCGCTGATTATGCTAACGTGCGTCTGCGACCAGCCACACGCGCTGCCTGAGCTCACAGCTGGCTCTGCTGATTTAAATAAGGTTCACAAGAACATACTAGCTTAAAGAAAGCTCCTTACCCCGGGTGAGTGTCCTTCGATCTGGGAAGATTAACGTGGAGACGAGCCCCGAGGAAGGACGTGGTGCTGAACACAAACGTCGGTATGACACGGACAATATTGCTGCGGTGTGCTGCAAACTGACAGCACATGCTAACTCATCCCTGAAGATGCTCGGTCATGTGACCTAAGCAAATAAGAGCTGAGTGATGCCAGCCGATTATTCAGCAGGTACGACACGTCTATACAGTACGGTAACCGCGCGGTCACTGGCTACACCATTTTATGCAAATATCTACAGTAGTAATGTGCCCATGGTGTTTGATAGTTCTGAGAACAGATGCACTTTGGCACAGGCCTGGCACTGGCTGGGATTGCCCCCCTCCCCCCCCCACAGATACCTGGAATTTCTGGTCTTTAGTTTCAGTAGTTTGCCCCCTGCTGTGCATTCAGCAAACTTTCGCTCCCCTCCCATCTGAAGGGTGGATGTGGAAGGATGATCCAGTAAAACATTCTAAAGTAACTAAATTTCTGTACAGGCCCTCTGACGGCACCCACTTAGAGCTCGGTGCATGTCACTGGCGTGACGCCATGGATCAGGAGGGTGGGGCCGAGCCCATCCGTCAGAGCGTCCAGCTCTGCCAAGTACTGCTGTGATTGGCTGGGGTCTGCTGGGGGGCGGGGCAGGAACAGAAAGCGGACCGCGGCCTGGGCACTGTGCTTCATCAGCAGGCCATTCAGACCAGACAGGAAGTCTCTGGATTTTGTAAAGCTAGGGGAGGTCCCAGCCCCAGCCCCGCCCCCTGTCCCAGCCCCGCCCCCTGTCCCACCCTGCAGTCTCAGCACCGCGTCCCAGGGCACGATCTCGATGGACGCCCGGATGCGCAGCTTCCCCAGCAGCTCTCGCAGCGTCTCCTCCTTGGTCACCCAGCCCTGGTTGCCCGCCTTGGCCTCCTCCACGCACAGGAAGATGCGCAGCTGGGCACGGCGCCACCCGGTGGCCATGTTGAGCACACACGCCATCTGCAGCAGGAAGAGAACGCCGACATCCACGCAGCCGCTACTCTCGGGCCGCAGCAAGTCCAGCGGCCATACGTCCACAGTCCTGTCAGCCCCGCCCTTCCGCGGCTGAAGCCACGCCCCCTCCAACTGGAAGAAGTAACGGCCCAGGCACACGTTCTTGCCCATCTTGATGGCATCTGAGATGATGCCCACGTACTCCTCCGGGGAGAGCCAGCGGGGAGAGCCAGCTCCACGCACAGGGGGGAAGTGGGTCCGGAACGAAGACAGGTCCACGCCGAAGTTGTCCTCCCCCCGGCGGGCCCAGGACCCCTCAGAGAAGGCGGGGTCCTGCAGGAAGTAGTCATCAGGTGCACAGTCATCATAGAAGCCCAAGATCAGCGTGTTGGGTTTCATGCCACCTTGGAAAGAGATGGGGGCGAGGTGGGGTGGGGGCAGAAGAGGGGACAGGAAGTTAGCGAAGAGCAGCCAGCCCAATGGTCAGGTCACATGACCGCAGAATTTACATTTACGTTGATCAGCTGCCAAAGCTCCAGGGCTTTAAATTGCTGGGTCACTGACCTGGAAATACTAAGCAAAGGTTCACACTCAACTCTCAACTGATTTTCTCGGTAGGTTTTTCCGTGCTGTTACGAGCAACCTCTGTTTTGCAGGCAGAGAAGCCATCTAGTGGACAACTTGGGTATTGCAAGCTCTGGCCACTCCACCTCTGAGGGAGCATGAGGCGAGTCAGGCAGAACTGAGCCGCTCCATTAGAGGAGGAGCAGAAGCCAGGCTTGCAATTTGGCTGCCATTATCAGCCATATCATAACGTAAATATAAAATAAAAATGTGAAGTGATTATTAACCCCCGACTGCCCTTTTTCTTGGCCCTGAGCTGACCAGTAGAGGTACAAACGAGGCCTTGTGGCTCACCGAGGCCAGTGATGCGCAGCAGGTGCTGTGTCCCCTGTCGGACGGAGGGGGACAGTGTGAGGTCCACAAAGGCCTTCACCTCCAGCTTGTCCACCAGGCTCAGCCAGTAGTTATAATGGAGCTGGATGGGATCCGAGGGCAGGACATCTGGCGGGATGACAGGAGGGTGACACACCTGCCTGGGAAATCAAAGCCAAAGGCAGCTCCTCTGGCTCCCCCCATAGCGCCGACACACATGGCCCTGAAGGGTGACTGTGTGGGTCAAAGCACAGAGACCCCAGTGGCCCCCCTCCCACTTCCCCCCAGCTACCTGTGGCCCCCTCTCCCAGTTCCCCCCAGCTGCGCGCGGCCCCCTCTCCCAGTTCCCCCAGCTACCCATGGCCCCCTCACCCAGGTCCCCCAGCTGCACGTGTCCCAGCACAAACAGGCCACCCTTCTTTAGCTGGTTCACGAAGGTGACGAGGTGTCCAGAGGAACGTGGGTTGGCCACCATCAGCAGCACCTGTGGCCTCCAGAACTTCACGTGCTCCTTCCGCACATCCAGCATCAGCAGAAACTTGCGCACCTGGTCAGGGGTGGAAAGGTAGGTGGAGGTGAGGCAGACACAGAGGGCAGGTTAAATGGGGGGGGGGGGCTGCAGTGAGTGGTATGGACCCCTGGGGTAGGAAAAAAGCTGTTTATCCAGGTGTTTCTGGGTGAGTAAATAATGCTGCAAATGCAGTGAGCAGAATGGGGTGTAAACCTGCTCCCGTGTGCAGAGCAGAACACGCACGTAACTGAGCATGTGCGAGTCTCCCATGACATCATCAACCGATTAGGTCAGGATCAGTGGGAACTAAGCCCCCTGGTAGGGCTGGGCGACATCATATCGATATTATATCACGCATGTGTGACATCATATCGATATTATATCACGCATGTGTGACATCATATCGATATTATATCTCGCATGTGTGACATCATATCGATATTATATCTCGCATGTGTGACATCATATCGATATTATATCACGCATGTGTGACATCATATCGATATTATATCGCGCATGTGCAATAATCACCAGGGCTTGAGATGACAGGTGAAACATTTGCCTGAAGGTTAGCTTTTCGGTGCTATGTGGATGTTTATTTACGCCCAAAAATTGGTAAGTAGATTAGTAGTACAGTTAAAATATTAATGAGATGCGTTTTGTGACACTCAGAAGTTAGTAATCTGTATAAATTTGCCGTACCGATATGTTTATTAAATTCGGTTAGCGGAGCACACCACATAATGCGGTTTTGGTATACTATGGTTTGGTATAATTTGGCGCGATATGAAGAAAGGAACAGCTCATCTTTTAAAAGAGGAGATATTGTGGATAAACAAGGTAAAAAAACGACGTCGGCGGTGTGGTGGTACTTCTTGCACGTTTATTAAACATAATATGACGAATTACTAACTTAATGCCCCATTAATATATTAGCTGTACTAGTAATCTGCTTGGTGATTATTAGCGTGGTGATTATCGCGCATGTGCGATATGATATCGCCCAGCCCTACCCCCTGGCTAGAGGTTTGCCCGGGTTCGAGGCTTCACCTGGTGGAAGATGAGCGCCTGGCTGATGTAGCCCCAACTGCTGGTGGGGGCTCTGTAGTGCAGGAACAGCAGCAGGAGCAGCAGCAGCACTATGCTGGCTGAGGAGTAGACGGCGTTGATGACGAACATCATGACCACGCAGCTGACGATGCCCAGGAAGCAGGTGTGCCAGGAGAAGTACTGGAAGGTGGGTCTGGGGGGGCGGAGTCAAGCCAGGTTTGGGTGGAGTTGGGGTGGGGCAAACTAGTGGTTATAGTTACATCAGGGTTATTCAGCAAAGAGCCCCCCCACAAACTACCTGTCACCCCACAGTTAGAATGACCCCGCGCACCAAGCCCACAACATTTAATAATTGACCATGGAGGATGAGGCCGGGACGGTACCGGAAGTTGGGGGCTGATGCCCACTCAAGGCTGAGGCAAGCCAGGTCGACGGCGGCGTAGGCTAGCAGGTAGAACACGGTGACGAGGCCGGCGATGGTGTTCAGCTGCCCAGCGAAAACCACGCACTGCGGCACAGGGAGACGTGGGCGTGTCAGACACCCCCACACAGAGAGCACCTCCCCCCCCTTTAAAAACCTCACCTGCACCAGAGCCCAGGTACACAGAACCGACACCCACGGGTTCCCCGAGCTGGAGGTGATGGCAGCTGGGGCCAGAAGCCGACCTGCGACAGGTAGAATGCGGGTGCACCAGTCAGTCATGGGTTCAAATCCCAGGACTCAGAAACAGACGTTCTGCAGTGAGTTGCGTGAGAGATGTCCCTCGGCGCCTGCCATACCGAAGAGCTGGTCCTTCGCCAGAGCGTGCAGGATGCGGGAGGCACCAATCAGGCAGCACATGGCAGCGGAGAGCGAGGCGCAGTATACGCCGATGATGACGAAGGGTGGCCAGATGTTGATGCGCTGGAAGAAACCGTAATCCTGGACCAGCAAGACCCTGGAGCCACGTGTGGAGGGAGAGACCATGGTGGGATATATATATAGAGAGAGATGGGAGTTTTACTTGCGCAAAAATGTTCTGAGGGCAAAATGAAAAATGATTGGTCCAGAGAGATAACCAATCAGATTGTAGAGGAGGTGGGTCCAAACAACTAGAGGAGGCAGGACCAAGACATTTGATTGGTTGGTCCTGCCTCCTCTACTTGCTTGGACCCACCTTCACTACAATCTGATTGGTTATCTCTCTGGAATCATTTTCCTTTCTGCCCTTAAAACATTTTTATGTAAGCAAAATGCCCGCGCATGAGAGAGCGAGATCTGGGTCCAGGCTTTCCTCCACATACCTGTCACAGGTGGAGCTGACCAAGAGGAAGAGGAGCACGTAGACGAAGAAGGTGTAGAGGACAGCGGTGATGGTGCCCTTGGGGATGGAGGCGCTGGGGTTCTTTAACTCTCCTGTAGTGGAGGCAGGAGAGGAGACAGTTGGGGAAGCAGGGTAGCTGTGAGGCTTGTACCTTAGCGTCACAGAATGGTGCAGAGCAGTGACAGTGAGGTCACCCCCACACCAGTGGTACCTGACATGTTCGCCCCGGCCATGACGCCGGTGCAGCTGGTGAACATGACGGCAAACACGGTGGCGAAGGACATGATAGTGTCTGTGCTGTAGTCCAAGGTGTATCCCGCTACGGGGGGGGGGCGGGGGTGTGGTGAAAGGGAATAAATAAGAAGGTAGAGAAAGGGGTCACTGATCATGATCATCAGAGCAGGCAGTGTTTATTTTCATTGCTTGACAACAAAAAGGCATCACTTCCTGTTTATGGAGGCGGGTACTAAGAGGAACCATCTGTTCAGCTGCGATTCTCATTGGCTGTGACGCTGCTGATGCTCCATTGCGCGATTGCTGATAAATTAATTTGACTTCCCCCCCCCCCCAAAACTGACTTTGGTGCTGCTCTCTCTGATTGGCTAAAGCAGACAGATGCCTCCCCCCCCACAGTGACTTACGGCCCAAGTTGTTCCGCAGTGTGGTGCTGTTGAAGCCAGTGAAGCTGGCGTTGTAGACGCGGGTGTGGTTGCCGCCGCCCTGGTGGCTGAAGGTGAAATTGCGCGGCCCCAGAACCAGCGGGCTGATGAAGATGGAGAGCAGCGAAATGGTCACCACCAGGAAGATGAGGAAGGCGGCCCGGGAGTAGATGTGGGCTCCCACCAGGCAGATCACCAGGCAGACCAGTAACACCGCAGACGAGTATAGCACCGTGTACCAGTATCCCTGGGGGAGCACGTGTAGGCCCTCGGAGACCTGGGAGGCTGCAGGGAGGAAGGGTGGGGGCAGAAAAGGTGGTGATTACTGACACAGGCCAAACTGGAGGAACTGAGTGCCTATCACTGAGCGGGACGTGCACAGATGTATACGCAGTGCACAGATGTATACGCAGTGCACAGATGTATACTCAGTGCACAGAGGTATACGCAGTGCACAGAGGTATACGCAGTGCACAGATGTATACGCAGTGCACAGAGGTATACGCAGTGCACAGATGTATACTCAGTGCACAGAGGTATACGCAGTGCACAGAGGTATACGCAGTGCAGATGTATACGCAGTGCACAGAGGTATACGCAGTGCACAGAGGTATACGCAGTGCACAGAGGTATACGCAGTCCAAGGCTGGTGTATGAATTATTCTGATGGTGCGAAAGGTGCTTCACTGGCACAGGAGCAGCTAGTAGAGGTAGCTTGTCTGGCACCAACCTGGATCCCTGCCGAAGATGTTCAGGATGGCCTCCACCAACCCCAGCACGTAGACGCCACACGCGCACACCTTGGACAGGTAGGACATCAGGCCGATGCTGCCGCCAAACTCGGGCCCCAGCGAGCGGCTGATCATAACTGGGACACAGCTGATGTCAAGGAGACACGCGTCCTTCTCAAGGTCATGCTGACTGCCTTCACTGGCCCATATTTTTGCTAAGATGTGGATCAGTGCATTTGGGCCACATACTTTTTTATTGGACTGTATATCTGCCTCAACTTCATTCCAGAAAGATAACCGTAGTTAATGTTAAGTCTCACTTTTAGGTCATAATCCAGCTTTAGCAGACTGAACCGTGATCCCAAGATACCAATTCTAATTTTATCGGCTAAAATGATACATTGCTTATTTGTCGAACATATTCATTACTCTTTCCCCCTAACAGTAAGTCATATTGGTGCAGAAGAATAAATATTTGAGTGCAAGTACTTTAGAATGGACTTAAAAATGCCTCTTTTGATTCTGTCAGGTGGCATGACACTATTTGCAAGGATACAGTAAGCCCCGCCCCCCTGTACAGCACCATTGGTGGAGATGGCACAGACTGACAGGACGGTCAGCGAGACAATGACGTAGGCCACGCAGAGCATGAGGAGGGCCTGCAGAAGGCCGGCGTGGCCCAGGACGAAACCTGGGATAGGAAGCCATCGTTATATAAATGAGAACCCACCAAATTGCGAGCGCTAGCAAGTCACACCAGTTACACTAAATACCCACAATGCCCCCAAAAAGCCAGTCAGAAGCTAAACCACAAGTATAATTATGACGGCCTGGGAGATGATTTCCTGCAGACGTCTTCGTCTCCGTCAGCTGCGGCTATTTTTCAACGATTATTCACGCCGCATGTAAGCTATATTAACATGTCTTGTTACATTTTACTATACAGCTCTCTAAAAAAATTGACACCACAGCAAAATTTTCAGTTTCATTCATTTCTCAGTTTATGGGTATGTGCAAATTCCAGCCTGGCTCTTCCCTGCTTCCCATTAATGAAGGGCTTCTTCCTTTATGGGACTTCAGTCCTGCTTCTTGGAGCCTGTTATGAATTGTCCTAACAGTGCACTTCACACCACTTAATGTTTCCCATTCTTTTTGAAGGTAACTTGAGGCCATCCTCCGATTTGTGAGGCACTGCAGGATAAGTTGACGGTCATCTCTGATCTCCCGCTTCACCTGATTCTTCTGTACTGCTGTATTAGAAACTTTGACCCTGGAAGCTCAGTGTAGACTTCTGCCAGCAGAACCAGGATTAAACCAGGATTTAGTAATTCAGATTTTTTTTTTTTTTTTAAATAAAGGGTGGTCTCAATTTTTTTCAGAGCTGTATATTTATTATTAATTCAAATAAAAAGCTGTTCATTTTTATATACTCAAACATAAATCTGTATGAAACATTAGAAATGGCTGGCACAGGCCATTCCGACCGCTTCACATATATGGATATTTCAGGAGAATTTTATCTGGCAACTATTTTGATATATTTAAAGAATCTCTGTCCTTTTTCCACTGCCCCCTCATTAAGACCTGTGTTTTGGGGCACATGTTATCATGCAGACATCACGGATAAGCTGGAAAGTCCTGTAAAGCTGCGTGACCTCGAGGCAAAGGTTCCGGTGGCAGCTGACCGAATAGCGCCCCCTGCTGGAGCGCTCACCTGTCCTGAGGAAGAGCACGATGCTGAACATGGACAGTACGGTGGGCACGAACACCCCAAAGAAGGTGTTGAGGCTGCGGTGTGTGGTGGGCGCCGGCTCCGGGTTCAACAGGCCCATCTCCTCACGCCCAGATACAGACGCTCGCGGGGCCGGGGTCACTGAGATCACCGGCCTGCTCCACGCCCCATTGGGCAGCAGGGGTGAGTGCTCTTGAGACATGGCGGTAAGACAGCAGAACCAGCCTTCAGCCACAACAGACACTCACCTGTGAAGAGGAAGAGGAGTGTGACCCATGTGCTACGCATGGGACATACCAACATAAGTATACTAGCACTAGCATCTATACTAGGCACTACACTCTTAGAAAAAAGGGTACAAAATCTGTACCTTTGCATGTCACCGGGCTGTACTCCTGTTATTGTACCTTTTAAGGTACAGAAATGGACTCTGAGGAACATCCCAAAGGTACAAACAGCATTAATATACCATCAATGGTACAGTAATGTTCATTTTAGACTATTTCTATACCTTAAAAGGTACAATTACCTACAGTTAAAGGTACAATTGGCAGACCCTTAAAGGTACAGCCCCAGTGACAAGCAAAGGTACAAATTTTTACCATTTTTTCTGAGAGTGTAATTCTGCTGCTGGAGGGCCCTTAGCCCCTTAGAATATGAGATAATATTCTGCATATTCCTGCCCTGTCATCCACCTTAAGTCGTGAGGAATCGGGTTGTTCTGGAGAACAAGAACAAGGTGTAGTGTGGTTCTCTAGGGCGGCAGACATTTCCCGTTTTTATCCAGGGGGGAGCCTTAATGGTACCTGGGGGGGGGGGGACAGGCTGACATCAACATAGACGTTCAGGCGTTGCCAGTTTCACTGCCCAGTCCATGTATCCCGATGTGGGGCGAGGCCCTGAGGTCTGCCTGAGTCCTACGTTATAGCCCAGGATAGCCTATGCATTAATCTGGCCCGACCCCTGTCAAACCTAGAGCTGGGCAGAGGGCCAGGCCACATTCTTACATCCCACCAGTACGCAGCCACTCAGCCATTCGCGGTCTACGAAACAGAAGTTCGGAGATGCGATATTGCACAGTATCTCCTGGCAGGTTCTCACGATTCTTACATCCTAGATCCGCCTTTCGCCGGAGCTGTACCCTAAAACGGCCTTTGGAAGGACGCAGACCTGTATCACCGATCTATAACATGACCAAAAATAACCCCGTTGTTCTGTCCATTCCATCGAAAAAGCGTGCTTGAAATTCGGCAGACCTCAAGCACATATTTTAGTACATATATTTTAAGCCGTTGGCGCGCATTCTTTGTTAAAACGGGAACTTGTGACAGCGCTATGCTGCTCTGCTTTCTTTCACAACGTTAAGTCCACATACAGGATATAAGTACACTTAAATTAAACGATCAGTCAGGCTTCTTAAAATAAATCTAATCCAGACGAGAGCAATACCGGTGAATAATAAGGCAAGCATTTATCTGTTTATTATAAAACAGCTCTAGCAGAATTCAATTAGACTTTTCGGCTCTTTTTCAAATTTTGGGCATCATTACTCACCAGGGGATATGCGGATTGTGTTAAAAATAAAAGAACTGCGCAATTATATCTACAGGGCAATACCGCAGGAGCCCGAAAACCAGCCTGAGACCTTTTTCGTCCCATTAAGATTTAATTTTGTCGCCTTGCAGTATATTTCACATCAGATGGAAACCGCTACAAATGTAGATATTTACGCCGGAAATAGAGGAGTTGCCGGGTTCAATCAGGGTTCAAACGGGTTCGAGAAAGCCGCCCGCGGTCCGATCGAAGCGGTACGGCGGATGGTTTCGCTGTGCTCTGATGCATCTAAAATAACATGGGAGATTTAATATAAAAAAGGAAGTTAGCGGGTCTGTCCTGGACCACAGCTGCTGTGGCGTCCCTGTGTCGCCGGTAAAAGGAACTGAAACAAAGTGTAAAATTCCCAAAATGTGGATCGCCTCTAATCAGTACCAGCCTGTGAGCTTATCAGCCCCCAGCAGACAAGCTAACGGCACTTACCTGTCCTGCTTCTGAAAGATAGCCCACTGACAGGCGCCCAAATGCGCGCACTTCCCGTCGACACCAAGGGCGCGCCTCTGTCTTTTTTTAACTATTTTACATATATATGAATATATTTCAGCGGCGAGTATAGTTAGTAAAGAGCCCGATTGCCGTATTAAAGCCGTTTCAAGCGGATGGTGCGGCACGTTGCGTATATCTTCACCGCCGCTATCTGCATAAACAGACGGACCATTTCCTTCCAAGTCTGACAGTAAACTTCCTAAGGACGATGGAGCATCACGACAGCGCCGGCTGTCATGCTTTAAGCCACTGGGGACGTATTGACCAATTAATATAACTGTGCATTTTTAGCAGAAGCTGGAGCTAACTTAAGTAAGAACAATAGCAGGAAGCTCCTAGGACGTGAACCAGCAACCTATTAGTAACAAGTTACCACGTGCCGAAGCTAGCGTTTTATTATACATTTCTGCACGGATCTTATTTTGTTAATCACACAAAGCAGGTTTTGGTGCCTTATTTTAACCTGCAGGGAGCAGAAAATCCTCTTACAAGGAATCGATTGATTTCCTTACTGTTTATTTTCATATTTCCTTTACAGGGGAGGAGGGAAATGTTTCGGTTGAAAGCAACATTTCCTGATGCCCCCTGATGCCGCTTAATACCGGCTCTCATTATGATTACATTTTGTACTCTGGATTACAAGGATGGTAAGTGTTCTAGATCTACTCTCATAACAGGACCCATCCAGTTTATATACGCACCTGAATAGAAAAAGATATGTCTCACTGAAATAGAGTATAACTTCCGCATTTGCCCGTCTTCCGTTATCTTCCTCATCTCTGTAACAGGACGCTGTAAACCAGACATGGGCGATGTGTCCTATCGCTTTTTTTCTATTTTGCTTGTGTTATGAACACAAGTGAGCCGATTTTCTAATTTATGTTTGAAGGCTGCCTCAGAACCTCACGACTACATATAAATACAAATAAAGATCCAACCAGCACTACCGTAAGATAAGATGAACTTTATTGATCCCAGAGGGAAATTCATCCACATTTTAGACATGAAGAGTTGTCCTCTGGTGCAAGAGAAAAGAGTACAGAATAGCCTACCTGTATCATCATCACACACAGCAGGTACAGCGAAAGATGTAATAAACATACAGCACATGACCAAAAAAAATTTCCTTTGTCCTGTATACTTTTACTGTATCTCTTTCAATGTTTAATAAAACAGACCTTGGGAGAGGGGACAAAACACAGAATAAAAAGTTAAGCACCATACTAATTCTAAATTCAGCTGTTCATGGGCAGAAAAAAGCAACGTAAAATTGCACGCTGCAGCAGGAGAGTTCAGCATGTTAGCCTGCATGCAATTTCTGCATTTTCCCTCTGCTCTCCTGCACTGGATCACAATCTCAGTTGGAATCCAGGGACTGCGAGCCGACGTGGGACCAGCCGAAGGGGGTCCCAGGCCCAAGCAGGGCGGGGCCGGGGTGGGGGGGAGCCGGCGGCGCCCCCGCATGGGTCAGCCGGTGCTTCTTGAGCTGGCCAAGCTCACGGAAGCAGCAGCCACACTGCGCGCAGCGGTAGGGACGCTCGCCCGTGTGGATGCGCTGGTGCTTGTGCAGGCTGTCCAGGTGGCGGAAGCGCTTCTCGCAGTAGCGGCAGGGGTAGGGCCGCTCGCCCGTGTGGATGCGCTGGTGCGTCTTCAGGCAGTAGAAGCGGCGGAAGCCGCGGCCGCACACGTTGCAGCGGTGCACCTTGTCAGCGCTGTCGCCCGGCGGCAGCGGAGCTACGGCCAGTTCTGGGCCGTCCAAGGATATGGGAGGGAAGCCTATACCCACGATACCACCACTGACCACAGGGGGCGACTGTGTCAGCTGTGGTGGTACCACAGGCTCAGAGATGAGGGGCTCTGTGATAGGGCCCTCTGCGTCGTCCTCGATTTTCACAGTCCCCTCCTTCAGCTCCTCGCCATCCTCCAGCACTCTGATAAGTCCCAGCTCGTTCACATCCCCAGCCGCAGCCCCCACCTCAAATTCGAATTTGGCCATTTCGGGCTCCTCCTGTTGCAAAGAAGCTGCTTCCAGGCCTTGGTGAACTTTCCCGGGGTCATCTTCCGTCAGGCGGCCAGAGTATTCTGAAACAACAGACATCCACATACACGTTAATAACATATCTATTAAGCACGACTCACAGCGGGCGTAATTAACTGTATGAGTTTAATTCCGGCACCGAAATAGAAGAATTCTCACCTTTATCTGCGACCCCCTCATCTGTAATATAGATGTGACTGTCGGCACTGTCGGCCGTCACCAGCATGTGCTCCGTCTGCAGCTCGGGGGCGTGCACGGCTCGCCGATGCTGCGAGTGCGGAAGGCTAGCGGAGGACACGCACCGGACCCTTCTGCGGTTCACGCCACCCCTGGCGAGGTCAGACTGCACCGTGGGCACGCAGAGCCCCACGCTGGGGAAGGACTTGGAAGAAAACTGCGGCCGGCCCGACGAGGCTCTGAACGACCTTAGCGGACCGCGGGAGGCGCCGCGGCCCAGGGGGCTGGTCAAGGCGTCGGTATGGGGCAGGAGGAACTGCGTGTCGTCGGGACGCTGGTTCACCACATCGGTGACGGGCTGGTTCTGGTTAAGCAGCAAGCACTGCTTGATGTTCTTCTCGGCCGCCGACATGTAGTAGCGCACGGCCTTCAGCTCGCTCTCAGAGATTTCCAAGCGCTCCCGCAGACTCTGGTTCTCCCGGTGCGACTCGGCGGCCGCCGAATGCGCTGCGGACAACTTGGCTCCCACCACCCGGGCCGCTTCCCGCAGCACGGCCTCCACGGCGCAGCGCACCGCCTGCTCGATGGTGGCGGCCAGCTCGTACTTTAAGAAAGACACGCTGGAGTCCATCTTCGTGCCCGGCTTCCGCCGATATCAGTGCAGGGTGGCCAAAAGCAACGAAGATGGCAAAGCAGTATCTGTATAATGCCTATATAAAATCACAGAGGTTTGGTTTTATCAGTGCTCCCGAAATGCGAATCGGTCAGATACAATCAAATAAAGGTTATTACAGTATACAAGCGCCTTCTGCTTTCTGTGCAGCGGAAAACCGTAAAGTCGACTGCGGACGCAGGGTGATGACGTAGCAGTGTTTGGGGGGGGGGGGCGGTCATGTGAGTTTGGTCTCGAGTTCATCATTCATGGAAGGATTTTTTAATTTTACAAACAAAGGCGTATTATACAAACCACAAAGTAGTATTATATATCAAATTATTATACTTCATTTTATAAGACACGCAACAACACCGTCTGAGAAGATAAATGTGTATAATATTAACCAGTAACGCCAACATAAAGTATTCTGTGTCCTCATCTCATGAATGGCTATAGTGTCTTGTGCTTAGTCAAATCAGTCCTTTTTTTAGTATCATAAGTATCTTGTTTTATGAACGCTAATTTAGCTACCTTAATAAATGGACAACACCATGATACCTCGGATTCCGTACTTTTGTTCTGAAACAGAGAATTTAGGCCGAAATTAAGTTATACAGGAAAAGAGATAAAGCTATAATAAATATAGTAACGCCACTTAAATTCGTATACAGGAAATGGTAAAACTTCAATGTTTTGAAAGTCCCCCTAAATTTAATTAAAACAACGTAATTATAATCACCGAACGCTAAAATAAAATCATTATAATATCACAGTGCATTGCATGACTTTTAATTGTTTCGACGTTAATTAGGTCCGTAGGAAAAGCAGCTGTGGGGATTATTGGTGGTGATTTGCATGCTACGCCAGCATTTATTAGCGTTGCACGAGGTGTTTCGGCTTAATGAGTGATGTTGCGGTGTGGCGTGTAGATACCCCGACCAGCTCCGCAAGCCGCGCTGCTCTGTTCATGGTCACGATGGCTGAACACGGATTTCATTTATTCGTCGTGGCTTTTGCCTTATTCACATGTGAGCTTTTTCCTCCCCCCCTCCCACCACTTGTGGCGTAGCTATCTTATTTGCTAAGGAATCCTTATTTGCAGATAATCCATATTTTGTCATTGATGATGGCAAGTTTAGATTTGATTATAAATTTTGGCATTTCTTGGGCGCTCAACTGAGCCGCCTGTTCTGTAACGTCGGCAGTATGTGGCAACTTGGAGTGTAAAACGATTTGTTTTACGATGGTTTTAACAGCACTGTTGTTTAGGGGAAAAGTAATGCTGAAAAACGTCGTGTAATTAAACTTTCATTCAGAGACCTGTATTCCATAACGAGAGGAAAGCGTGTTGCTGTAGCTTCTAAAGTTGGTGATAATCACTCGCACCAGCATTATGAGGAGACTTCATCACCAATTACAAACCGGCCAGTTCAAGGCTATTTCCTTGCACCTGAAAGTTAAAAGTACCGAATTCTTAATTGTATCAAAGCTCAGCTTTAAAGACCCCAACATTTGGACTGTTATGCAGCGGTCTGGTGATTCCACAGCCTTGTGGAGTGCATACGATTCTACATTACATTAGCAAGATCTAAAAATGTGGAGGTTAATTTGGACATTGACTCATTGAGTGGAGTAGACTGCCTGGCTCAATGTCATGAACTGCCTTGCTTTTATAAATGGTATCCAGGTTAATTTAGAACTGTAGCTTGTCCTGTCTGGTAAACCAGCATGTAATCTTACACCTGGATCACTAAATGATTTCTCTTTTGCTTTAGGCATATCGTTTGCCCAGGATGAAATTTATGCAAGCCCTACACCTCTGGTGTCTCACTCTTGGACCACAGCCTTGTCGCCACCTTCCATGGACACAGCCCCAGAAATGGAGACTACTGGGGTTACCATGGAGTCTGGTACCATGGCAACAGAGTCGACATCAATCTCTCAGTTTACCTCAGACTTGGCTCCCTTGATCACTGTCTCCAAGAACGGGAGGCCTTTCATTGTGCCACTTTTTACACTACGGCGCACTGTGCCTACCATACTTCCAGTGAAGTCTGCCTTCACTGAGTCTACAGAGGAGCTGTATACAACTGAGTCACCTGTCACGCTGGGGGAAGAGCCATTTCCGCTGGAGGAGCCCTTTCCACTGGAGGAGCCCTTTCCGTTGGAGCCCTTTCCGCTGGAGGAGCCCGTGACCGAGGAGCCCTTTCCGCTGGAGGAGCCAGTGACCGAGGAGCCCTTTCCGCTGGAGGAGCC